GAACCTTTGCTTTGCGCTGATTTGTCACGTCACTACTAGTAGGGAGATATCGTCCTTCACCTACGGAGCTTCTCTGATGCATTTGTATAAACACTTTTTGTTATTAAACCACAAACATACTTACAGAAAATTTTTAAAAAAATTAGTAAATTAATCTTTAAATTGTGTTTCATGTACATAAAACTTAAGAGTAAATATTAGTTTACCTATTTAAATAACAATTGCAAGTATATGATTATAGATTATTTACTACGATCGCATTGCGATGAATATAAACACATTTATTTGTATTCGTATATTTATTTTTGAAGTTATCCTTCTTTTTGTGTGGGCGTTAGGGAAAAAGGATGAGGGTAAATTTTTACGATGCGCGCGCACACCATTGTCTAATATTTTAACATGCCACTTTTTTGGTGCTATGGGACTGATATTTGAGGGATCATAACTATTGTTATAAACCATATCTGTTGGGACGCATCCACCCTGTGCATTCCCCCCTCTACAACTTTTTGGCCAACATCTCGGCACCCAAGCCTCACAGTCCATTAGGACCTAGCTCATTCGATCCCTCTATCTGCTCTTCCAGTTATTATAATTTCATGCTCATAGGGTTATTTCTTCCATAGTTTTTAATTGTCTTAAACTTTTTAAATTTGTTTAAATTCACAATATATTGGCTATTGTTCGAGTCTTGGACTTGAGATTTGAACCAAGTGTTCCACTCGTCGAGACCCATCCAATCATCTGCTTCATTCCCATTGTGTAGGCATGGGGAGGGTTTAAGCACTAAAATATCATGCTCCCATGCTAATCCTATGGGGACTGGAAAAAATTTCACCCCCTTCCCTAAGGAACTGAGCTTGGAACTTGATTTTTGGAGGTCCGCCATATTTTCATATTAGTGCGAGCCTTACGTGGAATTGGCCCCCTCCCCCCTACAGGGCTTCCCAGAAATAATTCGAATCCTATGCCACTTTGGTCGACCACACCAGCTGGATTCAATTGTTCTTTCTATGAGCATTCTAGATATATAATTTTCAGGACCATAGCCCCATTTTTCTTTTTTATCCCGTATATTTAACATTTTTTTAAATTATTTTAAAGTTATAATTCTTTTTAAATCCCGCATAGCTCCGAGGATTTTTGAGATTCGTTAATGAAACTCGGACCATACGTTCTCCTCGTTGAGCTGTTTCACCAGTTATAATTCGTGTGTAGATAGTGGCCTAGGGGGTGGGAGTTATCCCTAAAATTAGAATTCCCATGTTTTTCTTATGGGGTTCGATCTTTTGATGACGTAACGATATTACAGAGATAGAAGGATGAAACTTTGGGATCACCTACTACTCTGTTTATTGTTGGGATGTACGTCACAGTTGTTCCCCTCCGGGGGGAGTTAATTTCGTTTTCATTTTCCGAGCTAGCGCCACCCCATTTGCAACTACAGACTCCGGACCGGTTCTAATGGATTCGTCTTGTGTTTGCTCACAACAAGGCCCAGTTTCGAGCTTCTGGATGCCCTGCTTTTTTTTATTTAATTGTTTTAATTATTTTAAAATGACTATAACTCGGGGGCTCTTCAGGCGGATGTCTTAATTTTCTTAGGAACGGTTCTTCCCACCGAGACATTCAATATGAGGTCTCAGATGTCACATTCGGTTCACTTCATCTCCAGATACAGTCTGATACCCCCTCCCCATGTTATTGGTCCTATTGTCCCTGTGCAGGGGTGCTTAAATTTATTTAAATCGTGATTATCTGAGGTTTGGCTGTTCCGATTGACTGAAGGTTAGTATCGTTCAACTCTGCTCGTGACCACCTTTCTTCCTTTGCCCAGATTGTCTTTCTAAAGATTTTTAGAAAGATTTTAATCTTGTTACGCCAAAGAAGTATAAATTCTTAAGTGCGTACATATGTACACACACACTTTTTTCTTATGGGGACTTGAAGTTTGATTTACATCCTGGGATGTAGAAGGTATGTTATTGGATGAAGTGATAGTAGTTTGAAGGACTGGACATGTTGGCAAGTCTGTAAACATTGATACTGTGGATGAGGAAGATGCAGTCGAAGTAGGTAAACTATTAGATGTGGTGGGAGCACTACTTGTTAAAAGAATAGAGGTGGTTGAGGTTCAGAAGACGATGTAACTTTGACAGAAGAGATGGATGGTAAGAGTTAGGCTTGAGTTAATGTAGAGGATTTAGTAACTGCAGGGATTGAGTAAGATATAGATGGCTTTGGAACGGATATTAATGGTTGCAGTAATTTTAAAGGTGGGCAGATTATTTTTGTAACTGTTTCGTCTGTTTCGGTTGTTGTCATTACAGTTGATGTTTTGGCAACCTGGGCATATGTTTGAGATTTTCGTGCGACTATTAATTTTCGGGCTTCAGGATACGACATATTTTTATTGGTTTAGATTACTTGAATTTCTTTTTCAGTTCTCCACTTGGGGCAGAGTTTTGAATCGGCAGAATGGGCTTGAGAGCAGTTAATACGTTTAAGCTCTAGAATGAATCTGTGAAAGCATGTCCAACAGATGCACATCTAGAGCACGTCAATTGTCCTCTGCAGGCAGTTTCAGAGTGTCTGAACCTCTGGCACTTGAAACAGCGCAGAGGATTAGGAATGTATGGGTGGATTTTACAATTTAAATAACCAGCTTTAATGTTTTGGGGTAGTGTGGGGCTGCTGAAAGTTAAAATTAAGTGTTTGGTCGGTATAACAGTCGTATCTTTTTTTGTGATTCTTCTGACCTGAATGACACCCTGATTGGAGAATCCCTCAAGGATTTCCGCTTCAGGGGTGGTCAACAGGTCAGGTTCAGAAATGACACCACGACATGAGTTAAGAGTTTTATGTGAGCTTATTGTTACAGTTGAATTCAGAAACGTTTTTACCAGAAGAAAAGACTTAGTTTGTAAAGCACACACACAGAAAGTGTTTCAATCAGTAAATCACCGGATCTTAGTCTTTTAACAGATTTAGGTTCACTACCTATTCCTATGAGGGCTTTTTGAATAGCAAAAGGCGATTTAGAAGACATTTCATTTTTTGGAAGAGAAATCAATAAGAATCTAGTATTCGCAGAAATCTGATCAATGTTAAGTTTCGGTAATACAAGGCCTTTCCCCGGTCACAGCATATTCGGATCCATAAACGCGATAGCAACTTCGTCCTGGCGTGCCTCCACCCACCACGGAGTCCAACAAGGGAGGCAGTGTGCCGGTCATCTGGCAAAAACCAGGCACGGCGCTTACCTGGAGTACACCCAGAATATAATATTACAGCATCAGGGCAAGAATCCAACGGGTAAGCCCGACACCTCTTATCTGCAGCACTAACCCTACTGCAGTGTCTCTTCAGGGACACCGAAGAGAGGTACCACCAGCCGATTGACAGGAGCGGGCTCACTCCTGCCACCCGTCTACAGTGAAGCGTGGGCCAAAGGGAACGCACAGGTATCCCCAGGCCACCGATCTCCTCCATACGGGAGAAGCGTGGGCCAAAGGGTACGCAAAGGATCCCCAGAACACCATTTTCCTCCTTACGGGACGCCGCACACGTCAAATATGAGGGTTGGCTAACTAACGGTGTTAGTCGAAAAAAAGTAAAGCAACATAAAGTATTGAAAGAAATATAAGAAAAAGAAACTAAATTAATGCAATACAAAATGTAATCCAAAATATGTTAATAAAAATGTTCTCATTAGAAAAACCAATGGATTTGAACTACGTTCATTTCATGATATGTCTGTGGTCTGGACGGGAAAAGGAGAAATGGGATGACAAGATGGAGGGTCGAAAATAGAGAAGGATCACTAGGGTACCCCGGGGTCGTGACACCCGTGTTTACCAAAGACAGCAAACCCCTTGAGAAAAGAAAAAGATCACTAGGGCACTTCGGGATTGTGACACTCGTACTCACCTAAAGAAGGTGAGCCCCCTGAGGGGGTAGTATACTATAGAACCGGATTCCTTTAACTTCATTAGGTATGTCATTTCTTTGAAATATATAGCATTCCAATCTATGTCAACGTTTATTTTTTCTTACGCTCATCTTTTTTTACTTTTGAAGCCAATATTTTTATACCCAGCGTATAACGCGCACCCATAAATATTTCTCATTTATAGTAAAATTGCGCGTTATACACCGGATTTTACGATATATCAACTTATTCTGCCTAGAATGGCTTCTAATTTTTAGAAGCTAAATTTTATATAAATTTGTTCAAGTAAAAATGTTTCATTGTTATTCCTTCTAACAAAGCATGTCTAACAGCTTCCCAGGTCTCGGCATTGCCATTGGTGGCCAAGGGGTGGGCTGTAAGATGTTAGCAAACTATGAAATGTCTTCGTAAATAAAAACTAGAAACCCTCCATTTGTAATGCCTAAAGGTAAAATTGTGACATATTGTGAAAGTATTTGCGTCGGTGTCTACGCACCTGATTGTCGTACTTCTTTTTTGGCAAATGGCATTGAAATTTCACTTTCACAGGTGCGTGATTTCTTTTCTTTTTGCATTCTTCCCTTTTTTTTGTCTTAATCTGAATTTCTAAAATGGATGCTGTAGAATTCACCAAATGCGAAGAACAATTCTACTCCTACATTAAAATATCTGTGGCCGCGATAGCCTAGTGATCGTTAACTCTTGGCCGAGGTTTCCTTAGTCCTGAATTAGGTTTTACAACTGAAAATATTAGTAAAACTTTTGATAATTTATAGTAATTTAACTGTGTGCAAAATATGCTTCTTTTTCTTGCATTTTTTATAACTTGCATATGGAATTCAATTGAATCGTGTCATTATATGTGTTTAAATGATATATCTGAAATTACAGCTGTTTCAAGAATCCTGTCTCTTCTCAAATTTCCTTTTCACACACATAACAAAAA